CAAAAAGAGCTAGACCAAATGATAATTTTGGATGGGCAAGTGGTAGAGAGGCATGTTCCTGGAGTCTGGATTCTAATCCACATGCAACCTTCTACTGGCTAGGACATCTTCTGTGAGCATGTTCTTTGTTGAGTAAATGATAAAAGGTTGTAACATTGAAAATGAAAAAAAAAATGCATAATGTATAGGTTCATCACATATATAGACTGCTTTTGCCTTTTTTTAAGAGGTGCTGTGGTGAAAAGTAGTTCTTTGAAGGCGGGTCAGGGGGTAGCTTCCATTTACTCGCAGTGGTGATCTGTGAAGGCACCTCGCACGTGTTGCCATAAGTCAGATGTGAAACAGTAATAATAATGGTAATACCTTTGCTTTCTTCCAGCCCTTTACCCTAAGGTTATGCTTCAGTCTTTTCTTTTTTACTTGTTTCTTACCTTTTCTCTTCTACTCTGACATCATTTCTTGTCTTTTCTGTATACAGACCACAGCTTCATGCCTCTGTTTAGATCATCTGTCTCTGTGAAATGTCTTTAACTTTACTTTCCATTAGCAAGTTGTCATGGTTGACTTTCCGGACCTTAAATTTTTTGTTTTGAATAAATTCTCTAAACATTTAGTTTATAATCATGTTTATTCTTTCTGTATTTTATATGGCAAGGTTTTGTCTTCCTGACTAGATTGAGGTCCCTGTGGGTACAGACCATAATTTATTCCCTTACTCTGTATGCTTTGTTACTGTGTCTGTGCTTTATACAGTTGTGGGAGAGTGACTTCATGTGATAATTGATCAGCTATGTTAAGGCTTTATTAAGATTATTAAAATTATTTCCCTTTCAGACTCCAAAAAACAAAGCTACGATCTTCAAGTTATGCAGCATCTGCCTCTACCTGCCACAGGAGCAGCTTACCCACTGGGCAGTTGGCACCATAGAGGACCACCTCCATCCTTACATGCCAGAGTAGAGTGCTGACCGGCAAAATGGACAAGATCAGAGAGTGCAGCAGCATTGGTTTTCTTGTTTTCTTACACTTTATTCTTTCAGAGTTTAAAGAAAATGGACTCATGCACAGAACACTATGCATTTTGAAACTTGTTCATCCTGGATTTTTTTTTTTTTTTTTTTTAATTGTGTCTCAGAACTTAAAAAAAAATTAGGTGTCTTCTGCACGGACTGTGTGAAAGAAGATGCTTTGCATATTTGCTGCACTGCATTAGCATCTTACTAAAAATGTGAAATGAAAGGACTATTGTTCACTGAAATGCTTAAATGTATCTGAAAGCACAAGGTGATACTCATTTTTGATGGTCTTTCCATTTGTGCTGGTTTTTGCCTCTTTGACATCTGTCAGCGGTATTTAGAGGGTGAGAAGTGAATGTAAAAGGTATAAATAACATTTAAAAAAACTTAATAGCTTTGCTGTAATCACCGTTGTTCCGGAGCACTCTCGGATTCACTCTAATGACCAGAAGTGGTTGTTTAAAAAAAAAATACATAGATACACAACCACGGGAAAGAAATCTTAAATGGGAAAAAAAAAAAGCATCTCATTGTAGGCATTCTTGCCTCATGTTTTACTGGGCCATGTTTGTTTCCTGGTACTCATAAATGTATGTGTTTTATTTCCAGATCTCTTTCCCCAAGTTGCTGTTATAAGAGTATTCTGCTGAATGTGGATACAGTTTATACACATTAAAGCAGATCAGGAGTCTGAAGTAGCTAAAGCAGCTATAAAACTGAGAAATACATTCATAGCTGCAGAAACCATGATAGGTAGAGGACTTTCCTTTTTGGTTTTTGTTTTTTGGTTTTAAAGAGATTTTTATTACAAAGAAAGAAAATCCAGTGAATGGTGCAGAAATACTGGTTTCTACACCATCCTAAAGAAAAACGTATCAGGGTTTTTTCAAGTAGAGAAAAGTTACTAAAGTTGGTATCTAAAATTGTTAAAAAACCATTGAGTGTCAAAGCTCTAAAAGCAGAACTCATTTTGTGCAGTGAACATAAGGAAAGACTACTGTACAGGTTTTTGGTTTTTTTTTTTCTTTTTAATGAAGAAAAGCTTTGCTTAAGGGTTGCATACTTTTATGGAGTAAATCTGAATGATCCTACTCCTTTGGAGTAAAACTTAGTGCTTACTGGTTTCCAATTGTATTTAGCTTCTGGTTGGAATTTGAAAAAATGAAAACCTAAATAAAATAGGTGAAAGTTCCCTGACTATTCAGGTGAATACACAAAACTTGATGTGGTAACTTTTTTTCCCAAGTCAATGGGTAGGTGTTACTGACGACCTTGGGGGTTATTTTACAGTCCATAGTTCAACGGCCAATTCAGAAGGACAAAAAATGGCAGATGCGTTTGTGATTTCAGGAATAGGAATCAAAGACATTTTTCAGCTTTAACAGTGAGCAGGTTGGCTTGTTCCCTGCCTCATGGAAAAGAAAAATAGACTTTGTAGGCTCCACACCCAAGGTGGGGCTCGAACTCACGACCTCAAGATCAAGAATCACAGGCTTCACTGACTGAGCCAGCCAGGTGCCTCAGAAAAATATTCTTTATTTCAAGAGGCGTTCACATGTTTTCTCATCAATTGAAAATTAGAATCTGTTTGAACCAATGCCTGTGAATGTTTATCATGGGCAGTCCCTGTTCAAAACTCTGGTCTTACGAGGGGAAAGAGCTACAGAGGTTTAGTTAACTTGCCCAAGCTCACATCCAGAGCAGGGATGGATTTAAGACCAGGCTGGCTGGCTCTGTAGAATCCAAGCTCTTAACTGTTCTACTATATTGAATTATACTTGTGTAGTTACTAAGTCATGCACTTTAGCAGCCCTTGGTTTTTAAGTTTTTATTTTAGGATAAATTTAGAAAAGTTGTAATAGAAAGCTCCTGTATAACCTTTACCCATGTCTTAGCCACATTTTTTCCCCACTTTTTCTACATATATTTATACATCTATTCTGAACCATTTGAGAGTTTGGTCCATACATCATGCATACATCTTTACTCCTTACCCCCTAGTACTTAGCATTTGTCCCAAGTACAAGGATATTCTTGCATAACCACAGTAAAGTTAACAAATTCAGGAAATGTTAACACTGATACGCCTTAATCTATCGTCCATATTCCAGTTCTGTTAATTGTCCTAATATTCTCAGGTCCTATCCTAATATCCTGTGTTTTTTAATCCCCCTACCATTCACTACAGGACCCTTGCATTTAGTTGTCAAATCTCTAGTCTCTAATCTGGCTTTTGTTTGACGACTTTTTTTTTTTTTTTAAGATTTTATTTATTTATTCATTAGAGACAGAGAGAGGCAGAGGGAGAAGCAGGCTCCCAAGGAGCAGGGAGCCCGATGCGGGACTCGATCCCAGGACCCCGAGATCATGACTTGAGCCGAAGGCAGACGCTCAGCCATCTGAGCCACCCAGGCGCCCTGTTTGATGACTTTTTAAGATGATAGACTGAAAGCACAAGCAAGGGGAGCAGCAGGCCCTCCGCTGAGCAAGGAGCCGGATGTGGGACTTGATCCCAAGACTCTGGGATCACAACCTGAGCCGAGGGCAGATGCTTAACCCGCTGAGCCACCCAGGCGCCCCTGACCTTGACATTTTTGTAGAGTAGGCTTAATGTTTTAAAATAGAAAGTGTTCCTCATTTTGCATTTGAACGATGTTTCTTCATGGTTCAATTTGGGGTTATGCACTCTGGCCAGTACCCAATTCAAGTGACCTCACTCTTTCCAGTTAATATCCAGAAATGCACTGTCCCTTTGCTCTTGGTTCATGTTAATTTTGATTGGTCAAGGTGGTGTCCTGTTTCTGCATTGTATAGTTACAATTTTTCTCCTTGCAATTAAGCAATCTGGGAAACATGAACATGCCCTGCTCTTTATCAGAAGCACGACTGATGATTTCTCATTTTTGCCGTAACCAATTTTTTTTTTTAAGATTTTATTTTTCACAGAGTGTACAAGGAGGGAAAGCAGCAGGCAGAGGGGAGAAGCAGGCTCCCTGCTGGGGGGGGCTCGATTCAGGACCCTGGGATCACAACCTGAGCCGAAGGCAGACGCTTAACCATCTGAGCCACCCAGGCGCCCCTGCTCTAACCACGTGACAGTTGCAAAACGGTAATATCTACCCCTCCCCTCCACATTGAGCAGCATTGTCATGAGGAACCCTCCTGTCTCTGCCACGTTATCTACCTCAGTGATACGTGATTGAACAATTTCTTTTTCTCAGTGCTGCAGTTTGCATCCTCTTAAACCATTTTCTTGAACACTTGGCTTACTTTCAAGCACAAGATATGTTAACGTCAATTTCCCTATCCCAGCCTCCCAGTCCTGAAATCAGCTATTTTTCTCCAAGAAGCCCAGGTTCCTTTTAGAGGGAAATACTAGAAGTTAAGAACTGCGTGCCCGCCCTGTGTGCTCACTGCTCCTGGGAAGTCTACTTCTGTCCTCTGAGCAGAGAGCAGCATGACAAGCAAAGGATAAATCAGCATTTAACTGTGGATAGTGTTTCCAAATTTATTTAAAGTTGCTTCCTCTATCTCTCATAGCTTAATACTGGCTTCAGTTTTATTTATTTATTTTTTTTTTTTTTTAAGATTTTATTTATTTATTTGACAGAGAAAGACACAGCGAGAGAGGGAACACAAACAGGGAGTGGGAGAGGGAGAAGCAGACTCCCTGCCGAGCAGGGAGCCCGATGCGGGACTCGATCCAGGGACTCCAGGATCATGACCCGAGCCGAAGGCAGTCGCCCAACCAACTGAGCCACCCAGGCGCCCTGGCTTCAGTTTTAAAGTAATCTCATCTCAAAATGGTCTTGCTGGCTTCTTTGCTTTACCTAAGTTTTCAGAAACCCTTTCAGCTAAGATTTTTTTTCGTCCAAGTATCTATATAAGATGATAAACAAACTGAAGAGGTTTAAAATAAAAAATAGGAGACAGTCCCATCCTATGTCCCACTTGGTTCGTCATTTTCCTCAAAGAAAATAACTATTTCTGGTTGTGCTAATTTATTTTGAAAGTTACATTTGTTCAAGTCAAATTTACGCTTGGTCTTTATTGCTGGGTGTCTGGGCCAAACTGCTGGGCTTAGTTTCCCAGGTGTTTTGTGTGTCTGCCTTGTGCTACTAATTTTCCCGTGGTCTTGTTCATCAGATCCACAGAGGCAAATGCAAGTGTTTTCCCTTGCTTCAGAACATGCGCTGTTATTACTATGTCTTCTCCTATTTTAGCAGGTGACATGTACCTTGAAGGGAAACAGATTTAAATATAGTTAACAGCAAATAATTTTTTACTTTTTCAATTTTTAAACATTTTTAACAGCAATTTTTTTTAATTTCTTTTTTTTTTTTAAAGATTTTATTTATTTATTTGAGACAGAATGAGAGAGAGAGAGAGAGCGCACATGAGAGGGGGGAGGGTCAGAGGGAGAAGCAGGCTCCCCGCCGAGCAGAGCCCGATGCGGGACTCGATCCAGGGACTCCAGGATCATGACCTGAGCCGAAGGCAGTCGCTTAACCGACTGAGCCACCCAGGCGCCTCTAACAGCAATTTTTTTAAGAAGGGAAGTTGTCTGCATCTCTTCTTAACAGACTTCTTTTGTGTTGCTTATTTTCCTCCTCAAAGTAGCTTAGGAATAGTATCAGTAAGCTTTCTGTCCTATCAAATTTGAATGGCTGGTCCTTGACCAAGTTCATCTTCCCCATTCCATATCCACACAAGTTTCTTTTCCCATAAATATGGGAAGGCGTTCCCCCCACGCCTTTAAGTTTCCCACCTCCTGTTTATTTGGGGCTGGTGAAAGGTTTTCCCCAGCTTTTATTTAATCTACTCAGCTTCCCTGGTGAAGTACTGCCTGGCGTCTCTACTGCAGATTCCCCCTACCTGCGGTCCAGAAGGAAGCGGACGATCCTCCTGATACACTGTCAGAAGGTGAACAGTAGCCTAATGCCGCACCCCCGCCTGTCACTGCCCTCACTTCATCATGTACGCACTGCATCTCACATCCTCACTAGAAGGGTGCGCATAGTACGAGGTAGTCTGAGAGACCACATTCGTACAGCATCATAGCATGTTAACACTTGTTCTGTTATCGTTGTTAATCTTACTGTGCCTCGTTTATAAACTTTATCATAGCTATGTAGGTATAGGGAAAAGCATATATATGTGTATATAATGGGTTGGGTACTGTCTGTGGTTTCAGGCATCCACTGGGGGTCTTGGAATGTAGCCCTGGGGGTAATAAGGGGACTACTGTATCTTGTCCTATCAGTATTTAGGATTCACTCAACTGCACTTGAGTAAATTCTGCACTTTACTGCACTCAAAACAATTTAAGAATTACAAGAACTGATATGAGGCCCTTAGAATCCTGGTGATGAGTTGTATATATTTTTTAAGAGACACTTCCCTACCTATCTTAGTCATAAGCTGTCACTCATTTATTTTTGAAATATCTACAGTAAATCTTTGAGACTGTTTCTGTTCATGTAAGTCAGTTTTTGAAGCTCAGGCCGTTCTTTATTGTGACCAATACTTTGACCACACATTTGTGGAAACTATGTTTGACTTACTAAAAATTCTCTAGGCTTGTGAGAGCAGTAGTATCTCAGAAGATCATGAGATGCAGTGCTGTTTGAAGACCTCAGCTCTTAATAGAGGCTCCTGAGGCAAAATGGAGTCATCAGCTGGCCTGACCCCTCACCAGGTGGACTAAGGTGAGGACTGCAGAATGTACTCACCGGCACAATAAGCAGAACCTCTGGAGATCTTAATTTCAAGAGCATCTGCCTCTTGTCCTGTGATTTGCTTATGGCACCCTCAATTTATTCCTACGGTAAAGAAGGGCTGAACTTTCTTAAGGTAGCCTAATAAAAGATTTAGACTGTTTAAAAATCTGATAACTGACATTCTTTCCATTGCCCTCATGTTGCATAACATTGGCTTCCCCCCTGCAATCGCTGCCTGTCCCCCCAACAAAAGTCATTGTTCTGTTGTGTAGGTGGAAAAAGCAGCTGTCTTGAAACTAAACCCCTGGGCGCTGCACTCTTGGTGGGACCAGCAGTGGTACTGGTTGATGCTGGAAGCGAGTTTCTCACCCTGGAAAGCGGATGACCCCTGCAGGCATTGTCACAGTGGTGGGTGACAGCCTGACCTCTGGGGGGCTGCGTCCTGATCATGTAGTTTATGTCTGCAGAGCACGTTCGAGGTTGCAAGAAAACATACAGGATTGCAAAACTGGACACTTCTGTTCACCTTGTTACAAGGCAGTGTATACTTTATGAAGGCTTATCCAACTTCTCTTTGAGTTCTATTCAGGCTTTTTTCTAGGCACTCAGTACAGCCCTAAGACCTCCGGACAAGTGGCAGCTGTAAGGACTGGAACAGTTCCAGGCCATGAGTCTGTGATGCTTTACCCCCCGCCCTGTATACATAACAGGAACTGAATGTGTGCTGTTTGGAATGTTTAGGTCATTGCCCCTTTATTCCTGATGTGGAAATGAGTTCCTCTAGTTGGTAGATTCTAAGGCTGTGGGATCTTTCAGGGCCCATCGATAGGTACACTTCAGGGTGACCAGCTCAGGGCACCCCCGATTGTATTTATGTTATAAAGGTATTTAGTCTCAGTTGTTTGAAGTGAGTTTTCACATTAAAAAAAGTTACTTGTAGTACAGTCTGGATACATACGTGATGTTCATATCCACACTGACTCCTGGTGCCCCCCGTTCAGTGCACAGCAGAGCCATTGTTGATACGTTATCCACTAAGGTGGCCGTCAGACCACCATGGAGAGTGCCGTATTTATTGGTGTGGTCGTCTTCTACTTTCATTTCACAAACCACTTTCCCAGGGGCAGCAGAGACCAGAGTCACCTAAGTGCAAAAAAAAAATAAAATAAATAAAATTTTTTTGACCATTCTTTGGTATTAAGAAAGCCCAAACAGCCCATCAAGAATTATCACTGGATTAAATGGAGTCACTCCAGAGGTGCCTTGCTGACTCAGTCGGTAGAGCATGCATCTCCTGATCTCTCGGGGTTGTAAGTTCAGGCCCCACGTTGGGTGTAGAGATTGCTTAAAAATAAAATCTTAAACTAGGTCATCCCAAAGAAGTTGATAAGAAATTCAAATGTTACCAATATCTGTGATAGAAATTAACCCATATGTAAATTCTTCTTAAAGAAAAAGGAATATTTAGGGAAAGAGTTTTTGTTAATCTCCACCCTGCAGAAATATTCTGAGCTTTTCAGCCTTATGTGTGACAACCTGACATCTCTCAATGTCTCCACAGAAATTGTGGACCAACAGAGCTAGCTGGTCCCTGTGATTTGGATGTTCCCTAGTTTTTGCAGAGAATAATTTTTATAATGACTTTGTAATGAATGGTTTAAACAATTTAAAAAACAAACTGGAAGAAATTCAGTAATTCAGTGAGTTACCAGAGTCAACAAACTTATACCATAAACCCATTTTAATATAAAAAGCTTAACAGTAGAATCCAGCAGAGTTGAACTGCGGCTTTTAAGGCCCTGCCCATTTATACTATTTTAATGAAAAAGAACTGCATGAAAGTGTCTCAAGCATTAAATGGTTAGATTCTACCTAAATGCTAGTTGAGCATTTTCCTATGCTGGGCGCTGAGCCGGACACTAACATATGCTACATAATAAGGAAGGGATAATTTCCATTTTGTAGGTAACTTAAATTCAGAGTGGTTTGTTGTTGGGGTCACTTATGATGTGACAGAACTGATTTAGATCTAGGTCTGTCTTCAAGTCTCCCTCAACACTAACTATGAAGTCTCTGGATATACACTGGCCTTTAATGGCTCCCACCAGGAACACACTTTGGAGTTTCAAAAGCCCAACTTTAGGGTTTTGCTGTTGTTTATTCCCGAAAACTAGGCCCTGAAGTAAAACAGAAACAGAGCCATACAATAAAAATCATCCTAAACAATTTTATGTCCTGTTTTACCTAACAGGTACATCAGTGGCAAGTAAATACTAGAATAGGATCAAGTGTATTCATACAACAAATGATCTAGCCACAGGATGTCCTCATAAACAGACACATCAAGCAGGACCACGGCGTAAACTCCCCTTATTTGGGCATTTACATGAGTATAGCAAGCACTGGCAATGTGAAGATGAATGAAATCCAATCCCTGCTCCTAAGGGGTTCACAACCTAAAGAGAGAGGTGAGTACATGGGGGACGGACTTCCTAGAGACAGAATAAATACAAGTTGCTAGAAGGATATCTAACTTACAAAAGTATGTGTTTTCAGAGAACAGACATTAGGAAAGGCTTCCTGGGGAATGACAACTGAATCCTGACAGGCCGGGAAGAGTGAGGCAAGTGAAAATGGGGAAGGAAGCCAGGCAGCTCAGGGAAGAGAACTAAATAGGGAGCCTCACAGACACCAAAGGTAGTTTGGTGCAATGTAAAGGTGTGGTGTGTTTAGTAGAGGTTAGTTGTTAAAGTCCCACTTGATTATCTAACTTTAGCTGAGATGACAGGAGGTAATACAAATGTTAACTTTCTACTGCAGAATACAATTTTTAACTCTTTCTTTCTCCCAACTTGAAAGGGCAAAGGACACACTCCTGTACAAGAGTGGTTTAAAGTATATACTGGAAGAGAGATCATTCTGTGACGGTCACCCTGATAACTGCAAGAGAAATGCTTTTATGTGTTGCCATTTCTCGTCTCCCTACATAAAATAAAGGAATTCAGCCAATGGGAGCTAACAAAGGGAATGTCCTAGCCAACCTCCCAAAGCTAATTAATAATCTTGTTGGGGAAGAGACCAACGGAGAGCTAACCTCTCTTTGATGAAGAATGGGGGTATGAGGAGAATACTGTTAAAAAAAAAAAAAAAAAGAAAAAGATCTCAGTCTCAGTTAAGATATGGGCTATAGGGGACACACTTGTTTAACTTTGTGTTAGGGGCCATACTCAGCAACCCTGCATGCATTATTTCCACCTTCACTCATCTGTGAAGTCGACACTTTTATCTTCCTTGAACTCCGACACCTCAGGTTTAACCACTATGCAAAATGCCCTCCCTTCACATCTCACCTGGACTGCTGCAGACAAGTAGGTCCCGATTCATTCGGTGTCTTGTGGGAGGATGGCAAGAAAGCCTTTTATGATGCAGTGGGGTCAGGAATATATTTGCTGTGGCCCCAACAATACAGAGAATTAACTGCCCGGATGCATTCCATTCCCAGGATCCCATGGGCCGGGCAGCTGCAGGAGGTTGACAAGAACCTTTGTGGCTCAGCCCGGTCTGACCCATGGGCTCCTTGGTTTATCATAAAAATTATGTATGTGCACATACAATCATCCCTCCCTTTTCTGTAGGCCTGCAATGAACTGTGTCTTCCCCGTTCCCCATGCGTTCACCTGAGTCTATGTGACTCATGCGGCATGGCGCCCTGCTCCTCTCACCCAAACACCTAGGCTCCAATTCCATTACACATAGCATACCTGAGGTGACAGTCTCCCCCTTCCTCCTCTGCCTTTTCAGTAAAGACAGAAGGGATGCCCAGTAATCAATAGCAGTGAAGGAGGTGGTCCCTAGCAGGAGCTCTGTCCAGACCCCAGAATTCTCCTTAGGCCTTGCTTGATGTGTCCGCTCGCTCTGTCCTTAAGAGACCGCCGTCACTGTGCCTGCTGCTGATCCCTGTGGACTAGCTCACCAGACTGCCTGCTGGCGGATGAAGGTCGGTCGGTCTCCGGCTCGGTAAGGGTGTCTGTGCCGGGCCCAAAGCAGGGTGGCCCACGGCATGAGAACATGTGGGTATATGAAAACAGGAGTCCCCCAAGACAGGAGGCTGAGGCCCACACGTACACACAAAAGCACAGAGAACGAGAGTTTCATGTATTTGTGCAAGAGGCTGTTGGCAAACTGTCTGGCATCAGTTTGCCCTGATGACAGACACTGCTGATTTCCTGGGCGACCCGGTGCAGATACCAGAAGAGGTGTCTGCGGACAGTGTGTGAACGTGCACAGTTATGTTCAGGGCCTGCGCGGGTCACGCTGCGGGGGCAGGCCCGCAGCTCGGGTGTGCAGCATGCGTGTGTGTTTAACACGGGCGGCTGTAGAGGGATGGTGAGGAGCACTCAGGCTGGATCCTTCACCGAGGTCTCCCCCCTGTAAAGTGGACATAGCAGCACTGTCCTCGTAGGTTCTGTCAAGATTAAGATAACGTTCAAGCTGAGCAACGAGAGAAAGGCCTGGCGTGTCACAGAACACTTGAGTTCTCATCCTTCCTGTTAAAGCTGTGACTCGAACACAGCCATCAAACTGCAAGTCGGTTTGTATAGTTTCACATGGATCTTTCTTAAAATTGCCCAATTGGAACTGTCTCTCTTACTAAATTCAGTCCCTGAATGACCTAATTATTAAACTCAGTGGATACGTTTCAGCCCCTCTCAGTTCTTCCTGGCCCTTCCCTAACTCCCAAGCCCACCTTCTGGGTTTCCTCCTCCTCCACTGGCCACTCCACCATCCGTTTGCTGGCTTCTTTTCCAGGGCCCACCGGAGTCTTAGGGTCAACTGATCACTCAGCCTCACAAAACTACCCAAGGCCACACCTGCTTTCAGCTTCACCCTGCAAGCTAGAGGACAGGTTCTCTAACATTACGCACTATCAGACTGTCACCAGCATGGGCTTTGGAGCGGACACGGGATTAGACCCCACTGCCTAGCTGTAAGGCCTTGGGAAAGTTAGCTTCAATTGTCTCCTGCGTAGAGTACCTACCTCCCAGCATGGTCAGGAGGACTACAGGAACTATGTAGGTAAACTGTTAATACGGCGTCTGGCTCAGCGTACTCAACATAAATGTCATTACTGGAACGGACCACAGCCCACCTGCTCTTCTCGCCATCAGAATTAAACTCTGCTTCGTTTGCGAGGCCTGAACAAACTGAATGAGCAGGTGCCTTTCTGAAGGTGATCGGATCAGATCCCCTGCGTAACCTTCTGCAGTCTGGTTCCTTTCTGAGCATACGAATACTAGTGCTCAAGCTGTAGGCAGTGTAACTCTGGGGGGCGGGGCAGGGGGAGAAAGCGAGAAGTCTAGTGAGCGATGCAAGCCACGCAAGCCACGCGCAATCTCAGATAGTTGTTGGCTAGACGGTCTTCGAGGGACAAACAGCCTGAGAGGGAAAGCTGCCCCCAGCCTGGAGTACTCACTCCTCTGTCCTCACTCGCCCTCCATCAGCAAACCCTGTCCGCTGTATCTTCCGACATGGCCAGGACCCAGTCACATCCCTAGCCCCCATCCACGACTCCTCACCCTGCCACTGTGGCCCAAGCTGTCACTTCTCCAGCCGTGGCAGCTGCCTTCCCCCTCACCTTCCTGCTCCCGCCCTGGCCGGCCTTGTGTCTGCTCGCTCATTAGCAATGGGACTGCCCCAGCCACACGTCAAGTTCTGTCAGTCTTCTGTGCAAACCCCTTGAAGTAAAAACCTAAGTCCTTACAGTAACAATGAAGCCGTATGTGAGATCTCACCTCCAGCTCGCCCGCCTGGGATTCCTCTGGAATTGCTGTAAGCACACGGTGTTTAAAAGTCTCAGAGCCTTTACGTTTGCTGTTCCCCTGCCTGGAACACTCTTCCCCTGCTTCCAGTGCTTCTTTTGTTGCATATTATCTCTCAAAAAGTTACTGTTAAAAAGTAGCATATCCTTGGATTTTATAGTGTTTGCTATTTGAAAACATTAAATACATTTGTCTAAGTATTATTTCCTATGTTTTTCACAAAAGCCCTTGGATATAATTAGGGAAAGTTACTTACATGTTGAAAATATAGCCCAAATGTTGTTTCCAGGAGGAAGACTTTGGTCCAACAGCCTACATTCTTCCTACAAATGACAGCAGTTGGTCTGTGTTTAAACTCCACTTTTAAATTACGTATTGGCAATTTCCCAATACTCGTTCCTCATCAGAAGGAAAACAAGCAGGGGTGCCTGGGTGGCTCTGTCAGTAAAGCGTCTGACTCTCGATTTCGGCTCAGGTCATGACCTCAGGGTTGTGAGATCAAATCCCACATCTGGCTCTGTGCTGGGCATGGAGCCTGCTTAATTAAGATTCTCTCCCTCTCCCTCAGCCTCTTCCTGACCCCCCTCCCTCTCTAAGAAGAAAAAAAAAGGGGGGGGAACAGGCATGCATACTTTAAAATATTTAGAAAAAACCTAAAAGTTCTTAGGTTAATGTCTTCCAAATCTGACATAACCAAGGGCTTCTGTTATTCATGTTTATTTATAAATGATCCTACATAACACGATTTCTACAAAGACACTGAAAACTAGGAATCTGGGCTAGTCTGTTCATGCGCCACGCGGACAGACGCCAACCCTGCCTGACTCCAGGTAGCACCACTCTACCTGGAACTTGGCTTTCCTACCTTACTGCGATTACTTATTTTCTAATCCTCGAGGTTGCAAGTGCATCTTTTTTTTTTTTTTTAAGATTTTATTTATTTATTTGACAGAGAGAGACACAGTGAGAGAGAGAACACAAGCAGGGGGAGTGGGAGAGGGAGAAGCGGGCTTCCCGCGGAGCAGGGAGCCCGATGCGGGGCTCGATGGGGAGCCCGATGCGGGGCTCGATCCCAGGACCCCGGGATCATGACCTGAGCCTAGGGCAGACGCTTCACCGACTGAGCCACCCAGGCGTCCGGGCAAGTGCATCTTAAGCGTAGACACTGTCTCTTACTCTCTTCCTCAGAGCACTAGGGGTACCTGCTTGTTGAAGGCTCGAACTCTAAAGTCCTTTCCCGCTCTGAAACCAAGCAATTCTGTCTTCACAACTGATAATCATTTAAACATTCCCTGACTTATGACAGTTTGGCGTAAGATTTTTCAACTTTCCGATGGTGTGACAGCATTACACATCCAACAGAAACTTCGAATTCTGAATCTGGATCTTTTCCCAAGCTAGTCATACACTGCCACGCTCTCGACATGCCGGGCAGTGGCAGTGAGGGGGCAGTAGCTCCCAGCCAGCCCCAGGCTACAGCAGGAGGGTGAGCGACTACACTCAAAATTATTCTTTAACTAGGGGTGTCTGGGTGGCTCGGTGGGTCAAGCCTCGGACTCTCGACTTCGGCTCAGGTCATGAGCACAGAGCGCCCGGCAGGCTGCATCTCACGGGAGATCGAGCCCCGCCTCGGGCTCCGCACTGGGCCCGGAGCCTGCTTAAGGTTCTCTCTCTCCCCCTCCCTGCCCGCTGGCGTTCTCTCTCTCTAAAAGCAAACAACAACAAAAAATAAAACAAAGTTCTGTACCTATACAACCATTTCCCTTTTCAGCTGCAGTACAGTCCTCAGTAAACTACAGGAGACACTCAACACTTTTTACGAAACAGGCGCAGTTGGACGATTCTGCCCAGCTGCAGGCTAAGAAGTGACCTGCGCACCCTCAACACTGGCGCAGCTAAGCCGCGCAGGCCAGGCGGAGTACATGCACTTTCGACTTAGCATACTTTCAACCGGCAGTGGGTCTGATCCGGAAGGAACCCAACGGTAAATCGAGGCAGATCTGAACTCAGTTATGTCCGTTCCCGCGAAACACGCTACGCGCTTGGCCTGACACGCGGTCATTACTAGTCGGTGCATTTGCCGCGGCAGTCCAACAGAATCGGGCGAGAGACACCAATTCCGCGCAACCCGCACTCAGCATCGTGCTTTCTGTAGAAGCCAACGCTTCCACCCAATACCTTTTCCAAAACTCTATCAAAACCGGGGACACGGGTCATCGCCTTCATCAGCTCCCGCACATTCTGCGTCAGGCAGCTCATCGTGGGCCGCCGCGGCTCCCGGGCACAACGCAGGAAGGACGCCCGGGCGAGCCGGGGGGCGGGGGCCCGACGTCCGCGAACGAGCAAGGACAAGCAGGGCGAGGAAAGCCGCGCCCTCACCGCCCGCTGGGCGCTCGGCCGCCAGCTGCTCGCGCCCCGGCCGCCA